GCCTCAGTTACAGCCACATATTCAGATTCGGTTGTCGACAAAGCAACTATATGTTGAAGTTGTGAGTTCCAACTTATAACAGAGCCACACAAAGTGAACACATAAGAAGTTGTTGATTTCCTATTATCTCTATCATTTGCATAATTCGAATCAACATAGCCAACAAGTTTTACACCCTCAGAACACTTAGAAAATTTTAGACCAACATGCATAGAACCATTCAAGTAACGTAACAACCACTTAAGAGCTTCCCAATGAGGCATACCCGGATTAGACATGTACCTGCTCAAACAACTAACAGCATAAGCAATATCCGGTTTAGTACTAACCATGAGGTACATCACAGAACCAATTACATTTGAATAAGGCACATTTTTCATCATATCAATTTCAGAATCGGTCTTGGGAGACTGATCCTTACTTAGAACAAAATGGGCAGGAAGTGGGACATTCACAGACTTTGCAGACGACATAGAAATTTACTCAAAATCTTCTCAACATAAAAAATTTGATTAAGAAAAATCACAGAGTTTTTCCTATCACGAATAATATTCATTCCAAGAATCTTTTTAGCATCTCCAAGGTTTTTCATATCAAAATTATCACTAAGACATTTTTGAACATGCTCAATTGACTTAATGCAAGGACCGATCAGCAACATATCATCAACATATATGGGCAGAAAAACAGGAACATTGGCATTTTCTTTAAAGTACAAACAATGATCATAAGAACTCCTCTTAAACTTCAAAGAGAGCATGAACATATCAAATTTCTTGTTCCATTTCCTAGGAGATTGTTTCAAACCATACAAGGATTTCTTCAACAAATACACATAATTAGATTTCTTAGCATCCACAAAACCGACAAGTTATTTCATATAAATTTTTTCATCCAATTCACCATGCAAGAAAGCAGTTTTAACATCCATTTGCTTCAATTCCCAATCAAAATGAGCAACTAATGCAAGCATGATACGCACAGTGGTGAATTTAACAACAGAAGAAAAAATCTCGGTATAATCAATACCCTCACGTTGAGTAAATCCTTTTGCTACGAGTCTAGCCTTAAACCTAACAGAATCATTCTTTTGTTTAACTTTATACAACCATTTGCAATCCCCCAACGAACAATTATCAGGTTTAGGAACAAGAGACCAAGTATGATTCACATGCAACGAATTAATTTCTTCACGCATAACATTCATCCATTGCAAAGAATTCACAGATTTTAGGGCTTCCTCATAAGACTTAGGCTCACAATTATCAATGGACTCGAAAACACCAAAAGCATATGAAGTCATGTGAAAATCATCAAACTTAGAAGGTTTCTTACGTTCCCTTCTAGTCCTATCTCTAGCAAGTTGATAATCATGCAAATCAACATCATTTTCAGGCACGTTTTCCACATATTCATCATGCACATCGACATTTTCACCATTTTCAGCATGCTGATTTTCAATTTCAACACTAACAGGTTCATTTTCAGCAATTTCAGCAGGTAAATTATCAAACACAGCACGTTCGGTTTCAGTTTCAGCATGCAAATTTTCAGAATTTTCGAAATCACTTAAACCACTCAATTGCTCCACCGCATTTGGAGCATTTTCAGATTCATCAGGTAAAGGAGCAGGCAAAGAAGCATTTAAACATGGCATTTCAGATTCATTGAACACAACATCACGACTTATCACGACCTGAAAGTCGGGTACACTTCTAAGCCACAATCTATAACCTTTAACACCTTCAGGATATCCTAAGAAAACACATTTCATTGATCGAGGTTCAAGTTTATCAAGTTTCGTATGACAAAATGCAGCACAACCGAAAACATGCAAGTTTGAAAAATTAATTTTCTTTCCAGACCAAATAAACTCAGGACGCTTACCATTCAAAGGCATAGAAGGCGACCTATTTATCAAATAAGCAGCAGTTAAAACAGCCTCACCTCAAAACTTTTTTGAAAGACCAGAACATGTAAGCATACATTTCACTCTTTCAAGCAAAGTTTTATTCATACGCTCTGCAACACCATTTTGTTGAAGCATGTAAGGCACAATTCTATGTCTTTGAATACCAGACTTAACACACAAATTATCAAACAATTGGTAGCAAAAATCAAGACCACTATCGATTCTCAAAACTCGAATTTTCTTGCCTGTTTGATTCTCAATTAAGGTTTTCCAGTTTTTGAACTTCTCAAACACATTAGTTTTGTTTTCCAATAAAAACACCCAAACCTTTCTCGAAAAGTCATCAATCACAGACCAAAAATATCGATTTCCACCACGAGTCTATGCGACGGTGGACCTGGTGCGTGGCTCGTGAGGAGGTGCAGCCCAGGGGAACGGGCCGAGGAACTGGGGCTGCTGGTCTTGACCACCACCGAGCCGTGACTTACCGAGGGTGCCGGGTTTCAAGGACGATCTGAGCCGACTTCGTGTCCCTCTTCGTCAATCGTTCGGTCAAAAGGAGGTTTTCGTTCCTCCTCGTTTTTCCTCTTTATTTTCAGCACTTAGTGTATATTTCCCCTTATTGCTTGCTGTTATTCACCTGTTAATTGTGTATACGATTTCAGGTTGAACGGGGAAGAAATACGGGCTGAAATCGGGCCCGAAAGAAGTGCTTGGAATCAGCCCGGGCTGAAAGAGGGCTGTCCGTGAAGCTCCTGTAGACGAGCAGCACCCGCAGGGCTCGAGAAGGCGTGCAAGCGGTCAGTTGAGCCAAAAGACGAAGCTTCCGTTGCCAATAAGTCGATCGGTGGAATCGGGACGGCCACACAACATTCATATATAAAATAGTTTCTATTGAATCTTCAGTTGTGTTTTATGTTTTTGCCACAAAAACGACCCGAGCCAATTCCTTCTCTTTTCTATTTTTTTTTTTACTTAATAAGGTCTAGAACATGTTAGANATGGACAAGATACACATATAAACGACTTATTGGCCTTTTAATGAAATCATTTCAGCCCAATATAATTTATAATATAATTTTATCACATTTAGCCCTATGAAATAATTTGACAAAAATATTTATTTCCAAGTGATTGATTAATCGAATCAACTTTTTTGCTTAGATTTGGACGAGCCAATTACTAAGATCATAGTAGTTGTTGCAGATGATCATTTTTTAAAGTGAATAATTTGAATGAAACTTTTTTAAAGTGATTAATTTAGATGGGCCTTCCAATCATTGATTAACATATTTAGGACCTTTTTTCGTTGGATTCAATTGAACTCTTGTCTTGATCCGCTTGTGTAGAACAAAAGTGGCCTGAATTAAAGCAAACTCAACTGCAACAAGCATATTTTCCAATTTGTAAAGAAACATTGAGATATTGTAAAGGGAAAAAGAACAAAAATTGCCACGCATAATTTGGAATTATTTTTCTTGTTAATACTTGAAAAGAGAGATGGAAATCGAAAAGCGTGACTAGCCCATTAAAGAAGGATGTCATTCTTTTTCTTTTGCTCCTATATTCTTTAAGTTTTGTACACATTACTTTAGTTTAGCATCACTCAATTTGGAGAAATATGTAATTTTTTAGAGAAATATTTTTATTGAAAAATTGAATAATGAGTAAGCAAAATCCAAGGGAAACAAAAAATCCAAGCCTGATAGATCAATTTGGTGGGGTTCTTTATTTTTATTTATTTATTTATTTATTTGTCCAACTCAATTTTTTCTATTCGATTACGTTTATTTAAAATGACACGGTTTTGCATCAAATTGAACCAAATATACTTAGGCCTTGTTTACTTATGTAAAATGAACGCAGTTTTTTTTTTTTGTTTTGTTTTTTTGGTTTGCTTTTTCTTAACAAAATAATTAAAATTGATTTGATGTAAAGAAAGGAGAAAAATGATTTGAAGTGATGGTTAGTTAAAATAATGTGAGTGAATGAATAGTAAATTAAAGTTGATGTGATGTGTATGAATGATTGGTTGATATTATTTAATTATACTGATAGTATTGATGATAATGAGGTTGAGTTACAGTTGAGTTAATTTACTTACATATATTATGATGATTTAATATATGTTTTCTTCTTCTTATGTTGCATTATGTTGTATATATTAAATTTAACTTATTTTGAAGCTATGAAAAAGAAAGTCCAAATCGAAAGACCTAAAAGTAAGCTGAATTGCTATGTTCGGTTTTCGTATGAAGTTGGTTCTATTTGGTTTCCAACAAGTAGCATGTCATGAAGGCCCACATATATGAACCATTTCTTACATCAAAATTAGTTATTTTTAATCAATTAATTTTTATTCAAAATATATATGAACCATTTCTTACATCAAAATTAGTTATTTTTAATCAATTAATTTTTATTCAAAATATATATGATTGTGCGACTATATTTACCACATCTAATCTAGTTTGACCAACTGGAGGACTAATTATCAATCTTTATAATTATGACAAAAATCATGCTAGTAATCCGTTCAATTGATTAAAATTGCTCCGGTGGACAATTTTGACATGAAAAATCATTCCAACTATTCTTCTCTTTTACATGCTAGATAACAAGATAGATTGCATCTTTTCTAAAAATAAAGATGAAAAAACTGGTTATTTCATTCATGATAAGGTATTTATTTATTTTGGATCAAGACTTATTCATATAAATATATATATGCCAGCTCAGATATAGATACGTGTCGGTTCAAGGAACAAGCAATTCCTGGTTCAGAATTGGCCCGCTGGTCTCGGGTCGAACCAAAAAATTAAAAAAAATAAATAAAAAATAAATTTTAAATTAGAATTTCGGCGTCATACCGTTGTTCCAGTTACAATTCCGGTTCGAAATCAGAACCGACAATTTAATTTCGAAAATACATGAACCTAAACTAGCCCGTGTAAAACCACGGCCCGATTTAAGGCCCGTGGCCGCAGCTAGTTTCGGCGGAAAAAGAGGCCCTCATACACTAGGCTAAAACCAATTGTAAAGGGATTAGTTACTGTTTGGAAAGCATAAGGATTAGACAGTTATACATTTTCAATGTATATGTATATTTTCAAACTGAATGTCATATTAAAAAATAACAAAAACATACGTATTACATTTCATAACATAATTATAAATTTTTGTTACAATTGCATGATGAGTCGACTCATCAAATGGTTAGTCCTCTCACAATATGATTCTAAGTCATACATACTATTACTATTAATCATGCTTGCTAAGAAAATCAAAATATTTATTATAATTTCTCTGCTTAATTAATATTAAAAAAAAGGCAAAAAAATCAAAACGAAAACGACACCAGTCAACCCCTTAGTCCAACCTGTCACTGTAGTCTGTACACATAAACGAGAAAACAAATAAAAAACCGAAAATAAGAAACAAAAAGATATATTTTCGTAAAAAAAATAAAGAATAAATATCTATCTCTTCTTCTTGGACTTTTTACTGCTACAGAAGAACGAACTAATCCCAAACAAACTCACAGTACCTTTGCCAATGTAAGCCGGTGCTATATTCAGAACCGGGTTGAACCGAACCGCATTTTTACTATCCACACCCGATCTGCTCCCACTCTTTCTCAACGACCCCCTTCTATACTGCGTCGTATTGCCATCACCATTAATATTACATTTATTGTTATCATAGTTATAAGGGTAATAATAATGACACAGATTAGGCGACGCCGTCGCCGCCGGCGAACTCGATCGGCGATCTTCCGATCCCTCTTTCTGCGACTGCTGCTTCCCGATCGCCCTGGAGAGCCCGGGTGGATTCGGGTTGGGCACCGACCCGGTCGAATTGCTCCGGGTCAGGAAGTGCAGGGACCGGATCCGGAGCAGCCCGCCGACCCGCCCGCTCTCGGAGTCCGCGCTGCTGCTCCGCCGGAACTGCCAGAACGGCCTTTCCGCCGCCGCCGCCGACGGCGGCGGCTTCTCGATCTCGCCGTCCTCGTCGCCGTTGGATAGGAACTCGACGAGTCGCTTTTTCTCCGTGTTCTCGTTATTCGATGCGGCGTCGTTTTGACCGTTTTCGGGAGCGGTGTTGGGATTGGGCTTTGTTTGGGCCGGTATTGGGCCTGGCGGGGTGATGTTGGGCCTTTTTATCTGGACAGGGAGGATCTTGCCATTCGCGAAGAGCTCGTCGGCGGAGGAGATTTCGTGGGGGAGCAGACCGCGGCAGAGGTCGAAATCGACGGCGGGATTTAGTAGAAAGGAGTCCGGTCGACGGCCGTGATTTTCCACCGGGACGAAGTCCATATCCTTGAGGTCGTAGGAGAACGAGATTCTTGGGCTCGTAATTTCTGTGCACACATCAACTGCCATTTTCTTTTTTCTTTTTTTTTTTTTATTGGGGATAATTAAGTAAATAACAGAATTTGAGAAATGCAGGGGAGATGGGTAGAGATGATATATATAGATGAAATCAATTTAAATTAGATCCAACTAAGTTAAATTAAAACACAACTAAGATTGAATTTAGGGGAAGAATAGATTTGTAGAAGTCAAAAAGGGATAGCGAAATAAAAAGGGGAGATAATTGTGTCGCTCACTGGGAAAATGAAGATGAGCTTTTTGAGCTTTGTTTGAGTGAGGAGGAACATTGAGATTGACATTTGTGTTGAGTGTTGTAAAAGAAAAATAAAAAGAAGAGATAAATAAATAAATGGAATTTAGAGGAGATTGAATTTAAGCACCGAAAGTCTATAAACCAGAGGATCTCCCAAAATAGAGATGTCTAGAGAGAAGAGAGATGGAAGCTAATGTAGATTGTTTATGGAGTTTGAGTGAATGACACTTTTTCGTGTAGCAAGTTTTAATACAATTAAATATTTTTATTATAAAATTATACTTGTTGATCGGTTATATTTTTTAGAGCAAAAATGGAAATTTATATCATGCAAAGNACCATTGTAAAACAAATTGGAAAATAGTACTATTTTAAATTAATAAAAAAATATATTCATAAATTGTCTAACTTTAAAAAGTAATATGAAATAAGTTTTTGGTTCGTTGAGAACAATTTTTTAATTTTAAATTAAATATTTACTTTTTTGGTTAAAAAAAATAATTTTTATTTTTATTTTTCAATTTTTGGAACAAAGTAATAATAAGGGGACATAATTGGCGGCAACCACCCGGAAATCAGGATGGAGCCGTTGGCTCTGCCGTGGTCAAGAGGTCACATTAACAACACATAGGATACCCCAAATTTATTCCGTTGATGCTATTTTCTGTTAAATTCACTTTTTATCTTTAACTTTAATGAAAAATGTTAAATACTATTATTATTATTGTTACGTAATTAATCTATATATATGTAACTATTATTAAGTAAAAAAAGGGAACTATTTTGATATTAGTTAGTACTTATTACATTATAAAACATTATTATTATTAAGTAATTAATTTGGTAGAAAGGTTTAGTACCTGACAAGGTTTTTCGAGCCATGCCACATAATCAATTAATAGAGCTGTCATGATGATTCAATTAATGAGTATTCATATCAATATCAAATAAAGAAAAAATGCATGTAATATTAAATGTGATACTTACTTTTTAATGTTTTTCTAATTTCTAATATATGTTATTTTGTGGTGAAAGAATATATATTTATGAAATGAATATGTCTAACTAACGACTAAATCTGCCTACAACCATAGAATATATCTTGTTGAAGCTCGAATTCAATTATTTTATATTAATAAAAGAATCGAGCTCGAGGTCAACATGGTGCTCATTTGGCTCGAGAAATAGGGGCTGTACGTAGTTTCATGAATTATTTACTTAATTCATCGGATTAAGGCTCACATTTAATTAGTTAATTTGGATTAACGAATCGACCTCGATATAATTCATGAGCGATTTGTTTATTTGATAAGTTGAGCTTGAATATTATAAGGATTTCTATTGTTGGAGTTATTGGATCAATTAATATATAATTTTCTGCAAAGGGGTTAGTGGTAGACAACCAAACTTATTATATGCGTTTTGCCCCCGTTTTTTACTATATGGATATAAATATTTTTTATTAAATATTAATATTATACATTAAAAAATAATAAAAGTATTTGTACATAATATTTTACATTTTTACTTAAACTCGTTAATGTATTAATGTTTTATTTACAATGCTTTTCACATTTTAATGTATACATGATTTGTTCTTCTAATATTTGGGAGAAAGTTGAAAAGAACAATCATCATTTAATAATATAACCAAACACTGGTTTGTAACTGTATTGATATATTTTAATCTATAAATCTTACACAGGGCCGTCTCCAGAAATTTGGAGGCCCTAGACAAGTTTGTCCTTTTCGAATTTTCCGATTTGAATTTACGTGGTATTTAGGCTATTTGCAAATAGAATCATAGAAAAAAAACCTAATTAAATAAGACTATTAAATAAATAAATAAATAATGAAAAAAAAAAATATTTTTTTTTTTATTTTTCTAGATCTTGAAATTGATAAATTACCTATGAGTTACAAAAATCTTTAACAAATTACATTCAAATAGTCATGAGAACAACAACGATAAGAAAATAAAAACCATATCACTGCAAATAATATTTATTCTTACACAACTGTTCTAACCGAACATCATAAAAAAAATTAAAATATTCAGGGTCTCAAATTTCCACACAAAGTACATATTTGCAATTAGTCATTCATTAATTAGCCCATTCATTTGTATAATGGGTCAAGTCTATATTTAACCATAAATTACTTCATATGTGCAAATAGACCAAACTAAATACAAATATATAATATTGAAAAAAAATGAGGCCCCAAATATATGGGGAGGCCCTAGGCATGGGCCTAGGCTGCCTCCCCAAGGAGCCGGCACTAATCTTACACTTGGATCCATGTACCTCATAGGTATTGAAATAAAAATTTAAATTTCATTCCTATCAGTTTCCCAACCGTTAATAAAATATTGTCCATTAAAATTTTAGTTTTTATTAAATGACTAGAAAATGCAGAAAAATAATATTCCCTCCTATTCATAATAAGTGTCATTTTGAGAAGTTGCACACTAATTAAGAATAATTTTTTTTGTCAATAATAACCTTAATGAAGATAGAGATGGATGTTTTAAAAAAAAAAGATGAAGAGAATATGAAAAGACATAGAGTATTTATTAACTAAATGAGGGTAATAATGGAAAAATATGTACAAAAGATCCAAAACGACATTTATTTTGGTTAATAGTTGATAAAGTCAAAATGACATTTAAAAAGAATAGGAGGTAGTAGTAGTTTTTCAACCTGGACTTGCCAGCAGGTCAACTCCGGTCAACACTGCCTTGACTCACTCGACCCTGGCCTCGACCTCGCCAAGTCAATTTGGTCACTATAATTTTTTTTACCTTTTTAAAAATAAAAATTATGCATATATATTTATATGGTAAATATGAGTTACAATTTTATTAACAATTTGATATTTCTCTTATTTTTATATATATTTCAACGTTATTATGGTTACTTCTCTATAGTGCAACTTCTTTTTCATCCTCTTTCTTCCACATTGGGAAACCTTTGTTGGCTGCCTTCTTTGCTTGTGCTTTGATGTTTTCTCCACCATCCTTTGTTCATGAATCATTGATTGCTGGTGAAGCTTGAGGCAATGAACAAATCATAATAAGTAAACAAATAAATAACTNACAGACTAGTTAGACAAATATTCATCATACTATTTTTAGTAACAATGCATACTTATACTACAAAACTTCATACTTTTCTTTACTTTGTTTTTTAAAGTACAACAATTGAGTTTAAAAATATGCATATCTATTGAAAACCTAATAGTATCCTTCTTTGTGATGGTAATTCTCTAACCAAAGCATCACTGTTTTTCTGTAAGATAATGTAGCCATTATTTGAACAAAAAAAAAAATATATTTATACTATCAAATATTATACTTGTGTTTATATTATTTTTTATTAATATATATTTTAACAAAAAAATATGTATATTTTTAAAATAAGTATAGAAGCCCGTCTAACATAAAACCAGAATATGACAATGACATCCAACATTGTGTGGATAATTATCTCAATTGGGGCGCGTTAGGTAANATAAGGACATGTAATTATTTCATTATATTCCTCAAGCAATGTCATGTTAGTTGACCCCTCTAATCACATTACATTTGGAATGGGGGGACATATTTGTCTTTTCTCCCCATGAATTTATTTTCACTGGGACAAAACTGACACAGATATTAGAATAGAACATTCATTAAAAGGACAAACTTTTTGTGGCGGGATCATCAAACAATTATAGGCGTTAGAAAAAAAAATAAAAAATTGTGAGATTGATACTGCAATCACTACAACAAAAACTGCATTTAGAGACGTTTAATTTTTTATATAGTGACATTTATTAGCGTCACAAATAAATTTACCTACACTAGCGAAAGTGTCACCAGTTGCGTTGTTAAATTTGATGTCACGAATTTATTTGTGACGCAACCTACATGCGTAGGTAATCTTTAATGGGCGACAGTTTTTCAAAAATGCGTCGTTAGTACATAATTTAGTGACACAATATATTAATGTAAATAATTTTCAATGTGTGACTCTTTTTTTAGCGCGTCATTATTATTACGAGTTGTTACATAATATTTTAGCGTCAGTAAATCCCAATGCATGACACTTTTTTATAGCGTCATTAATATAGATTATTGTGACACGAAATTGTATTATTTGCAATTTTCAATACATTACATTTTTTTAAGTGTGTCATTATAATTTTTGGTAACAAAGTACAAGAGATTGAAAGACATTTCATGAAAAATCCATATTCAAACACAAACCTCAATCCACAATCGTAATCCAATGGTTCACTGAACAAATGATAATTGAAAGACTAAAACCATAATTCTCACGACATTGAATTCTACACGAAAAAAGCAATATATATATATATATATATATATATATATATATATATAAATGTTACATAGTTTGAACAAAACAACCATCTTCAAGGTCATGAACCCACAACTCGATGATACTGCACAAGCACAAAGAAAACAAACCAAAAACCAATGAATCAGATGAAAATGATACTATAGTGTCATAAACAAAGGATTTATCAATGTAACCGAACAAGTACCTTGATAAAGCTGATATCCTTGGCGTTGCCGCGAAAGCATTGTCATGACCTTCTTGATCTGAAACGCAGCAAACATGACCTCCTTGATCTGAAACGCAGCAAACACGTAAACTTCGATAACAAAATAAATTGAAAAACTAAAATTCATAAGAAGAAAAACAAAAAAGTACCCTAGATTAGTAATGGTGAGAACATCAACTTG